ATCTCCTAAATTATTCCATTAAAAAAAAAAAATTAACCAACTTTCTAAAATCTCCAGGGTAAAAAAATTGGTTTAATACAATGAGTAAATCAACCAAATCATAGTCTCTGCTGTCTTAATCTGGTCTACTTGGTATGACAGCAGAGACTTTCAGCTATCAGATCATGTCAAAATATTTTACTGCCTAACTTTCTATCACACTGTTTTCTTACATACTGACATCTGTCGTTTAGTAGGTTTTTATTGTCATCACAGATACTTAGTTTTCCAAACAAATCCTTTCTGTTCTGTTAAGGTAATTGCATGTTAACAATTTGCAGTTCTTTCCTAAGAACCTGTTCTTTCATTGTCTTTACTGAAACATTTGCAGACAAACCTGTGAAGTCCTCAGGGGATTTTAAGCACTGAGGTGGTCCAACTGCCCACTGGAGAGGAATTTTAGGATATCCTAAAATTCCCCTCCCATGAGACTCACTTGAAAGCTGGTGCTGCGTTCTTTCCAGCTCAGCCAGCCTCTGCTCAGCTTTGGACTCTGTAACAGTAATTGGAAGCATGGAAGAACACAACAGCCTTGACACATAATGCTGCAGAAACGTGCAAAGGCTGCAGGACAGACACCAGATTCCAAATACATGATATGCTGCTGTATCCCAGTCCCAGTGCACTTATTTGCTTGGGCGAGCTGGGGAATTGTTCCCTCCCAGAGGGCCAGCCATGGGGCTCCTGCTCCAGCAGTGCCTTTTGGCAGCCCTGTGCTGCTCCATGTGGGAGCATCAGCAGCCATAGCTGCTATGGAAGGTGAAGAAGAATGATTAGGGAAGGCTGGAGGCAACATGGCACTGCTGCCAAATCTGCATGGACACCAAAACTGAAAATGTTGTATGTAGGCTGTTTGTGTGAACATGACACCAAACACACATATTTTAGTATCCGTTTTAATGCCAGTAGTTATCTGCATACAACTGATCTGAAGAAGGAGCTTCCATGAACTGTAGAGTTCCAGGGCAAAGGGCACAACACCATTAAGCTCATTAATGCATTCATATTCATGACTCAACCAACAATTGTTTTGTTTTCTATCAGTATACTGCTTCCTGGCAACAAAGCTCTAACTTAATCTGCTGCTTGGCTGACAGGTCAAAGTTGTCTATGGTGCACATCTGGGTGGACTTCTACAGGAGAGGGACCACTGACGTGGGTACCACCTTCTGTGGATTGTGCTGCAAATTAAAGCATTAGCATAACTCTGTGTTTGCCAGCTTGGAGACATCAGATACCAGCTCATCACTGGCTACTGCAGGCTGTTTGCACTCTTTATTTTCAAACACGTTATAGCAAAACTTTCTGACATAGCTGAGACTTCCAATTGTGTAACAGCTATGGGACAACACACTGCTCAAATTTGATGAACTCAAAAATACATGCACAAAAACCAGCAAGAACTGGTAAGAATGGTAGGGACAGGTTGAGCCACCTAAGGAAAGCAAATACATTTCAGGGTTTTAAAACACTGAAGTGTAACCTAGAAAACTGAAGCAAATTAAAATTCATGCATGATGGGTGTGTGCATGAAAAAAAAAAAGGTAGGCAAATTCTACTGTGATGAGTGACACCTATTGCTCACATGACTCTTGTTTTTCCTTCTTTCCAGCCCATTCAGCACACACTGCTAACTGCTATGAAAATGGAAAGCATTGTTTGCCGTTGTAAGTAGCAAGGAACCTGGTATTTTCATCTTCAGAATAATTTGAGGATTAGAGAACTGAGTCAACCACAGCAATTTTTTCCCAGTGCCCCTTTTTATTGCTGTTTCCTTAATCTTGAGTATGTTCAGTGGACTGTAAATTGGTTTTGCCATGGCAGGGATAACCTTAGTTATAGTGCTAGCCTCGTGGGTTCACTGGCCTCTTCTTACCTGTATTAATAAAAGACATGACTGTTATAGGCTTCTAAAAGGTCAGTGACGTTCTAGGTTGGTGGTGTGATTTTTTTTTTAACCTATATAAAATTGTTTTTAAAACCTCAGTGACCACAGTACGTGGCTGAAGGGAGGGAGCTTGTGAAAGGACCAGCAAAACAGGATGAGCACACTGAACCTTGCAACTAAAATCCATGCTGAGTCATGAACCTGCACGTACAGCACCTCCCAATTAAATGCTTCATGTCTATAAAAAGCACTATTTCAGTGGTGGTTACAGACTGGCTCTCAAACCCCAACCAAGACCAGAAAGGAAAGCTAAAAAGCAAACACGGAGTACTGGGACCTGGTGATCTTTCTAAAGGACTTTCTTGTAAAACTAGTAAAGTTTGACTTACCATTGTAACCGTGACCCAGTATCAGGATCAGCTACTGTGCGTACCACACTGAGGAAGAGCAGGGCATGGGCAGGGGCACCTCAGCCTCCTTCAGCAAGGCCATTCCTCTGGAAGCCTGTCAGACTAGGTTTCTGCACCCATTTTTATTATCCCTGATTAAAAATCTTGGATTTGTATCTCTCTCAAAATGCTTTTATCTCAAGCTCTTTTACCACATCCCTGGCAGCAGTGAACTACTCTGCTTTGATTATTATACTGCAGCTGTCTTGGTTCCATGGGGTTAGGCAGCCTCATGGTCAGATTAGATGATGAGGTCCATCCTTGAACCACTGCAAGGAACAATCTTACCCTCCCTGCGGAGTTCCTGGCCTACCACACAAGGTCAGGACTGCACCGGTAAGCCTATCTGATCAGCAGGTGTCCCATGGGCATGTGTGAAATTATCACGGTTGGCTAGTAGTGAGCATGTCCCCTCCAGCAGATCCTGCACGCCCTTTGAGATACCCCCTGCTGCAGCATGGTCACATGCTGTCTTGATCTGCAGTCGCCCACTTTGGTGAGTTGCTGTGGGATTACGGGTAAAACCAGCCATTTATACGGCAGGCTGGCTCGTGGGATTGGGGTTACGACACACTGCTGCGAGTGTGCAGGACACCGGGCCTTTCCAGGCTGGTAGGGCAGGGGTATAAACCAGGCAGAGGAGAGCGCTGAAGAACCTCCGAGGAAGCTGGTCCCTGTTCCGGCCGAGCCCTGCGCTGCCCAGCCCGGCCGTTCCCCAGCCAGGGGACAACCGAGGACACAAGAAGCTCGCTCCCACGCACAACATGGCGGACACGAGCCGCGACGAGCTATGCCACTCAGCCCGAAATAGCCAATCAGAATCCGAAGCTCCCCGCCGGGGCGGGATTTACGGTCCAGTTGGCGTGCAGTTACAGCCGCGAGAAGTTAGTCCCGGCCGCGGAGGGGTATGTCTGGCGGTGCGCAGCGCTCCCTTCCGAGAAGTGACGCAAGTGCGCAGGATATGTGGTTGGCGCAGCCGCCGCCCGTCGTGACCGCCACACCCGGGCGGGCCGCATCCGGCGGTATCTCTCTGGCCTCCGGGGTCGGCGCGGTAGTCTGAGAGTTTGCGGTGGGACGAGGCAGCGGCGGGTGTCGCGCTGCGCTCCTCCGCCGTGCCCACTGAGGTGGTGGCTTCTGCCCTCTTTTCCCGAGCGGCGAGGACACCTCGTCTTTCTCCTTAGAGCGGGGCAGTTACAAGCACTCTAGTGCTGTGTTCTTCCCAGTGTGCCGGCCCGCAGATGGAGCGTTTCCAGGCTCTCGAGACGGACAGCCGGTGCCTGAGTGAGCACAGGCTAGCTGCCCTTGCCAGAACACTCGACAGCTTTACCTCCAAATAAAACTCGGGAGTGTGGCGGCAGGTGGTTGGGCACTATGAGATCCTGGTGCTGTATTTATGCAGCTTGCAGGGCTGTAACTCAATGTTCTGTCAGAATAATCCTTTTCAGGCAGCATGTAAGATCGCAGTGGAAATGCTTACTACAGTGAAGCTGCCCCATCCCACTTGAAGGAGAAGGTTTATGTTCTCAAACACTTACTGGAAATAGACCTTATGTATGGCACAGATGTCATCAGAAATCGGGAGCTACTGTGCAGCCTTACATGACGTAACTCGAATATCCTAGTTTGTAAAAATAATCCATTTCTAGTAAGTAAAACTCAGCATACCAAGTATTGCTCACAGCCCAAGGAGTCCCTGATCCTGTGTGTTGTAGAGTGAGCAGCAAATAAGGGAAAAGCCACCAGAATTGGCTAGCTGTCGCCCTGGACAGTGTTCTGCAGGGCTGGGGACTCCAACATCCTCAGGTGACATGAGACAAACACGGGGTGATGCAGTGGATGAGGAGGGTGCTTGTTCAGTGTGAGTCTTACCCCGGCATTTTAATATCTGTTCACGTACAGTGATTTAACCCGCAGCAGCTCTTCTAACCTTTTTCTATTAAACGAAGGGTAACTTTGCTGGAGTACTTGCTGTCCGGGAACAAACAGCCCACCCTCTGTCAGTATTGCGCCACAGCCACCCTGTTTATTTTCTTACTCAATTTTACAGAATTCCACACCACCACCACCCCCCCTCGGGATATGCTGCAGGTGCCAAAGGCCATACTGCAGCTCCAGGCCATGGGCCAGGTAACCAGTGCCGTCTTTAAAACTCAGCTTCACCAGCCCAATTTCCTGTGCTTCGGCTGCTGTGAAACGTGCAGTTCCTTTACACATGAAACCCTTCCGCAGTGGGAAATGCTGTTTAACACGAATAAACTACGCCAGCCGCCCGCTTCATCCCCACCACTGTCATACCCGGCGCAGCCGCTTCCTCCCCGCGGAGGGCGTACAGGCCCATGCGCGCCTTTACGTCTTCCTCGCTAGCCAAAGGAGATCTGCAGGCGCGGGGCTCTTCCCCACGGCGATGCCCCACCCCCGGCAGAGCCGGGGCAGTGCTCCCTATGTTCCGCTGCCGACGATCGGAGCGATGGGGACCGAGTGGTGCTGGCAGGCTCGGGGGATGGGGGGGGGGGGGAGGGGAAGAAGGAGGAGTAGCCGGGCGCTGGCGTTGGTGTGGGGCGGGGCAGGGCAGGGCCGGGCCGGAGGACTTTTTTTTCCCGTCGTGCCTTGCGCAGGCGCCATTGTGCGCTGCGTCAGAGCGCCGGGCCGCGCTAGTCAGTGTGTGGCCGGCTCCGGGTGCGGACGCGCTCCGCCGTAATGGCCTCAACCGCCGCACACCCGGGCCCCCCTGCCGCTGCTGCAACAGCTGCCGCCCCGCCAGCTCCCACCGCCCCTGGCATCCTTATCGGTGACCGGCTCTACTCGGAGGTGTCGCTCACCATCGATCACTCGCTCATCCCCGAGGAGCGCCTCTCTCCCACTCCGTCGATGCAGGACGGCCTGGACTTGCAGTGTGAGACCGACCTGCGCATCCTGGGGTGCGAGCTCATCCAGGCGGCCGGCATCCTTCTCCGCCTGCCGCAGGTAGGTGTGCGGCCGGTGGCTCTGCCGGTGCGGGAGGGGAGCAAGGGCCGGCGCCGCCATTCTGGCGCGGCGGGAAGGGCGTGTGTGGCGGTTGCGCGGGGGGGTGGCGGCGCCAGCTGGTGCCTGACACAAAATGGCGGCGGCGGTTGGGCCCGGTGACTTCTGCTCCTTCTTACTTCTGCGATTTGCTTTCATAGGTGGCGATGGCGACGGGGCAGGTGCTGTTTCATCGGTTCTTCTATTCCAAGTCCTTCGTCAAGCACAGCTTCGAGGTGAGCGCGGCACAGACTAGCGGGGCAGCGGGGAGGGTGGGAGAAGGGAAAAAGGAGGGGAGGAAGAGAGGAGGAGGAAAGCCCTGTGTCCTGTGCTGAGCGAGTAGAGGATTTGCCCAGCCACACGCCAAACAGGCTGCTCTCCTCGAGCCTTCAGGACACGGTTTTGTTGGTTTTTGTTGGGTTGGGTTTTTTTTAAGTTGTGTAATTCTGCTCTCACTGTGATTAAACATAATATTCTTACGGAAACGTTTTCTTTTCAGATTGTTGCCATGGCCTGCATCAATCTTGCATCCAAGATAGAAGAGGCACCTCGTCGTATAAGGGACGTGATCAATGTGTTCCATCATTTACGTCAGTTAAGAGCAAAAAGGTAAGATTAGCTTCGTTATGAATATAGGCATCTGTTGTCACTAATGTATGCTGCAATTTTCAATTCACAGTGTCTTTCCAGGCTAAGTTCAACGACCTAAAACTTGAGAAGGGAGTGCTCATTGGCTTCTGTGTAGGCAGTACAGTTCAGTGCTGATGTTTTCTACTGTTAGTGTTGTTTAGTAGGTAGATCCGCTTTCATTACTTACATAGCTACAAGGCATGGGCATCGGTTCTAGGTCCATGGTTGTAGTTTTAGGTCCATTGCTAACTGTTTTTTGATGTCTTGTAGTCTTGGGAAGGTAGTCTTAGGTATGAGTAACCAGTTATTGGGTTGCTGTGTGTTTTCCAGACTTTTAACTGTGTTCAGTGGTCTTAATATTTTTCTCTTGTTAGTATGTAGTCATCCAGATGTTGTCATGGTGCCAATAATGTATCAGTTCATGAAAGTGGAAAGCTTAGTTTTTCCCACTAATGATAGCATTACTTATTAGAAAATGAATTTTTGGAAAGTATTAGGAAAGAAAAAAAAAGGTATGGTTTGGCCTACAGTTTTTGCAGCTTTAATGGCACCACTTCAACAGCTAGTGTGTGAGTCTCGAAAGCTGAAGGCATCTTTAGTTGCAAAAAGTGAGATTGTGGATTTTTTTTAATGGTACTGAATGCTTGTGTCAGTGGAGTGTAAGCTTACTTGATCTGTGTGCAGATCTGGGTAATTGATGAATTGTTAGAGCTAGTCTCAGTTGTGAGTGCCTAGTACTGCTTTTTTGTGTGTAAAGTGATACATGTTTTCATGTGTGAAGCAAGTTAACGTGACATATTGGCAGGAACAAGGAATGGTTAAGGCAAGGAGTTTCCTAAGTTGCTGTTGAACCTGTCATGCAGCAGTATTAGAGTCTATGATTGGAAGCATCAGCTGTGATGAAGTAGCTTTCCTTTTCATGGCTGGTTGTTTAAAGTTTAAGGTACTCCATGGTTACACAGAGGATTTTTGTCTTCAGCTGTATTCTTAAATTCACATTTATTTTGCTGCTCTGAATCACCAGGTTACAGCAGGAATGTAAACTGTAGTGTTGTGTAACCATTTCTGAGGAGCAGAGTAGAAATCTGTTAGGGAAGCCAGCTTTTTCTTGGTGTCTTTATCCTGCTTATGCTTCTGTTGAATCTAAAACTTTTGCCTTGTGCTTGTTTTCCTAGTTAGTTTTAGATGAAAACAAGAATGATTGGGTGTTACACTTTGGCATTTAGCTTTGTTCTCTCTCTTTTTATTTAAAGTTGTTATCCTTGATAGCCCTGTGAGAATTGTGTGAAGTTATGCTGAATGTGAATTTGGTGGTATTGTTACTGCAGTTAGAGTCTGGTTATTATTGAATTACTGAAGGTGGTTCAGTGGTTTGTAACGTTTTGGCCTTGATCCAGGCAGTTAAGGTTAATTAATCATATGCAGTGCTTTCCTTTGCAGTGAGAATACCAATTAGTTGTTTCTTGGTGGTGTGTGAAGGATCAGTGGAACTGAACTTAACCTGTGAACTTGAATCTTTCCAGCTAGCCTGTTCCAAATCAGAATGTCACTTGTGCATGTTACATGGTGTCTAAAATGCATCATGTCAAGAGAAATCGTGCACTTCTACCCATTATTTTCTGGAGAAATGGGTATTGCTCTGAGATTCTGAGCGAATCTGCATGAAATTGATCTTAAAAATGTTAAAGTCTGACATTCAGACTTGCTTTTTCTTTTAAACAGGATGTAAACATTTTTCTGTACTTTTTACAAGATTGCAGTTATATAATTTGTACACGTTATTAACTTCAACTCTTTTTTCCCTTGCAACCGACTATACAGCGACCAGCTACATTTACCAAAGCCTGGGTGATGTGGAGTGGTACATAAAGATGAAGCTGTCGTCATGGCAACAGTGAGTGAAGTATCGAAAATCCCCAAGGAGAAGCCAGTGCTCTGAGAATAGGTCACTGGAATCGGGGGACTAACAGGTTGGCCGCTGGTGAACCATTTGGAAGAACTCCTGTATCTTGTTATAAGCTTTTTTCTTTGCTGTCCAGGTTTTTAGAATATTAGTTTAATTTTTTATTTTTTTTTATTTGAAGCTAACACTTAGGCTATAGCTAGTTTCTCACACACAACCCAGAACTGAAACTATCAGTTAGGCTGTTGTACTTTTCTTTTCACTTGTAGTCTAGCTTCTCTGTTAACTGAAGCTCTTAACCTGCATATGAAGTTTGAGTAGTCTGAATAGGCTTGTTTTTTCTCTTACACAGTTTTGGTTTCTCAGTTCTACTTTCTGGCTCTGTATAACTGCAGTTTGAATTCATGCCTTCACATGGATATGGAAGACTTGAGTTTGTAAATCCATTTTTATATAAATTACAATGTAAGCAGTCACTTACATGTACGTGTTTTCAGAACCGGGAATGGCATTGGAATTGTCTTTCTGTAAGACCTGTAGTGAACTGAGTTACTGCTAGGTGGTATTTCTAATGCTGAAAAGAACCTTAAAAAGTGTTTTGGACAAGCATATTTCCTTTTGGATCTTTCACGAGCATATGTCATATAGTATTGCATGTAAAAATATTTTTGTGCATGGAGAAAAGCTCGTATTATGAAAATCCTGCTTTTTAAACAATTGTGTCCTGAAACATCTGTGTTCTGAACGAAGTGCAACTGTTGTTTAACATGTAGAATGTAGTTTGAAGTTGATTTCATTTAACTTAAATATGCCTTAAAGCTGTAGAAAGTCCCTGTGAGACTGGAACCAAATATGACTTCTGTCATTGTGTAATCTCACAAATGTTGGTTTGAGATGCTCAGTCAGCTGTTCTTCTGTTGCAGCAAACAGATTCATGCAGTTGGGTTGAAAGTAGCCTGTGTTAATCATACACACTACTTGATGGTCTTCATATTGTTCTATAAATCTGCAGTGCTTGTATTTACAATGTTGGAGATAAATATAGAACTTGGTTTCTTCTGTGTTGCTGGCATAAGAGAGGATCTGGTCTTTGAAATGAGATGCTGCTGTTACACTGTACTTGTCAGAAGTACTCTGTGTTATGAACAAAACTACATGCAAGGCACATTTCCTCTAAAGCATTAGGCATTCCAAAGACATTAAATCTCAGTATTACATCAAATGAAGCTGTAGCATCAGAACTTAGGTCTCCTTTGTCAGGTATATGTAACTGGGTAATCTTTTGAGTTGTTACACAGTCTAAATCCCAGTGAAGTTTGCGACTTCAAATGTTAGACTGGCTGGCTCTGTGAGCTCTATGTTCGAAAGTCTTGCCTGGAGTTTTAGTGCTGATCTGTAAGAACAGATTCAAAGCAAGAATATATAATACTACTTGGCTACAAAGGGCTTGAAGCTTGTATCTTGTATATAAGCTTAAAAATTATTTTTCTCTGCTTTGCTACTTAGACCTAACATGATTGCTACTTGGACTGAGAACAAAGTGCAGCAAATGCAGTAGCAAAGTTCCTCTTCTCAATAGAAAGTTAAGTTTTCCAACAGGAAATCTCTGAAACTTCCAACTTATAAATGATTACGTGTACCAACACTTTGGGAGTTTATGGCAAAAGTACTCAGTTGGTTAATCTTTATACAGTGGGGAGCTTGATTTTGCTGGTAATAAGGAGCAAAATAAAGTCTTCTGCAGATTTTTATTTTTGTATAAATTGATAAAAAGCTGCATTTGTTTGAAATACTGTCTGTATAAAGTAGTGATTTTCATGGCTTCCTTACATCTGTAGATACATAGAACTTGTGTGTCGTAAGTGACCAGCTAACATGGGACAACAGAGTAAAGCACACTTCTGTGATAATTCTTACTGCTTTGCTGTTGAACATGTCTAACCAAAGTTATGAACTGTGCAGTAAGGCTCAGTCTTTCCTGTTGCTCTTCAAGCTACCTCACTGTGTTTTCATAATACTGACTTTCTTACATAGATTTCAGAGAATGCAAAGACACATGGAAGATATACTCTGGCAGGTTATTGGATGGTCTTGTGCAGTCGTTGTCCCAGTGGTGTTGGTTTTTGGGTTTTGGTTTGTTGGTTTGGCTTTTTTTCAAGACTGGAAGCCATAGCTGCCCTGTTTCATCCAGGATTTGTTGCCTCTGGTGAAGTGTTAATGTTAGCAAGATAAGCTGAGCCTGGATACATAAACTTGCTCTGGATGATCCTTTGCAGATCCTGTTAATGCCAGTGATCTCTTGGTAAAATTGTGTAAAGCAACATTGTAAGAAATGTTACTATAAAACTCAGTTGAAATCAATTCGAAGTGATTCAGAAGAACTTCAGCTTAGTTTCCCACTCCAGAGCTTTGTGTTCAGGCAGCACTTGCAGTGCTGGAGTGATCAGGTAAAATTAAAACTTGGTTGAGAGGCTACCATAAAGAAGCTTTAAAGATTACTCTTTACAGAAACAAAAAACCCTGTATTCTGAGTGGGTTATATTTAGAGTAGCTGAAATCACTGACTTTGCAAACTTGGCCTGATGAGCGAGAGTAACACTTAACCAAAGAAGTTACTTTCATGTAATTTAGAAAAATACTTCGGTTGGTTTTGGTTTTTGGTTTTTTTTTAGGAGACAGGAGCAGTGAGGCTTGTAGTTGAATGGTAGGTTCTTCCTGGCACCAAGAAAATGCGGTAGTTCACATCAGACCCCTTGGGAAGAGAGAGGGAGCTCACATTTCAGGTGCATGGCTATACAACATGATGCTTTTGTTAGTGGAGTGACTAGCTTATTATCCTTTGGCCAGTGGTAATGAGCATCCTTCCAGGTGACTGCAGGAGCCAGCATGAATTGTGGATTATTGAAGTTGGGAAGCCATCCAGCTAGGCTTGTAACAAAATGGACCCTTTCTTCCTGGGGTGTAAACCTAGTGGGCTTTTTTATACTGTGTGTGACCTAGCACAGGAGAGAAGTGTGATCCAGTTGTGGAACTTATATTGATTCAAAAAAAGACAAGTTAGTGAAACATTGTGTCTGATAAAACAGACAAAATACACTTTGCTTTTTTTTTTTTAAATCCATTTTGAATTTTTTTTCCTTCTTCTTTAGAAGGTAATGTGAAATAAATTTGTCACCAGTGCTTGGGGTGTGCTAGGTTTATCATGTAAACAAACTGTGGTTTATTAGTGTGTAACTAGTCACAAAAGCATTCTTCTGCATTGGAAAATGTGTGGAATGTGAGGTATATTACAAATAGAGGGAAAAGCCAGTTTGACTCTAGGAGGAAGTTGATTAAAATGCACAATGTGGAATGTTGAAAGGTCAAGTCGAAGCATGGACAAAGAAAAGAATACAGCATGGAGTGTGACACTCGTGTGTAAAGCATACAATGGTTAAAATAAAAAGACTTTGGAGAGTTCAGGTGTTGCGTCTGGAAGGAACTGGGACTTAATAGTGCTACACTTCGAAATCTTTGTGAAATGAGCTCTTGGTTTGCAAAAGCAAGTAGCACAAGTGACATAACTACTGGTTAGGGGTGCAGCATTCAGAGCCACAGGCAGAACTGCCACCATTTCAGAGGTTAAATTCCTTTCTTTACTAGGCTTTTTGTAGATCACAGAAGCAGGGCTGTCTTCTCAGGAGATAGGAATAACCTGATCTTCCAGTGTATAGGGAACTGCAGTTTGTAAGGCACAAGCTTGCTACTTTTAATGTCAGAAAAACAACCCAACTTGTTCCAACTTTTGCTTTGAAGTGCTACCTAGCAAAGGTAGTTGTATCACACTCCTTTTTCACCTCTGTCATGAAGTGCAAAGACTCTTCGAGATCTTCACTGTAAAGTTGACTTTGTTTGAACAGCTGGACCAGAATAGTTGGCATACAGAATAGCCAAAGATATGTTTTTTTTATTCTTTTATTTTGGCCATCTAATCTGTAGGTACTCAAAAGCAGGATCTAAACTTGGACAGCACAAGATTAATGCTTAAACTTGCTTGCAGGAGTTGAAAACAGGTTTCTGTTGCCATTAGTTGGTTGGAAGGGAAAACAGAGATGACACTGGTTTTGGATATGCAAAACAGTTTTGATTTTATTTCTTGCAAACTATAGGACTCCAAGCCCCCTGATACTTGATCAGAACTACATAAACACCAAAAATCAAGTAATCAAAGCAGAAAGAAGGGTACTGAAGGAGTTGGGATTTTGTGTTCATGTCAAGCATCCACATAAGGTGAGTTCTCAAAAATAATTTTAAATATTTTTCTACTTTGATGGTCTCATTGTGAGGTGTGGAGCAAGAAATGCAGGTGTAAAAAATGGACCTGATTTCTTCTATTTCTTAGTAGTTATGTTGAATGCTTTTGCCAGAGTGCTTGGGCAAATAGTCATTGCCTTTGGTAGAATTTGTTTCCTTGGGAAATGTTGAAGGTGGCTGGTTTTGAAAATCATAAAAAAGTAATAAGATTAAGAATTGCGTGAACACTGATTGGCTGACATATGAAATTACAGTGTGTACTTGGAAAAGGAGGAGACAGTTGTTTTGGAGTACTGTTTGATTATACGGTTGCTTTATATACTAACACTGACTTTTGGGTTGTTTTTTTTTTTCCCCCTTATTCCTCAGATCATTGTTATGTATTTACAAGTCTTAGAATGTGAGCGTAACCAAACCCTGGTACAGACAGCCTGGTAAGTTACTTTCCATTCTTTTCCCAGCCAGGAAAATAGTAGCAGAAAAAAACAAGCCTGATGATCCATATACAAAGCAATGATATGTAAGTTATTACACAAATCTATGCTTTTAAAATATTTTAGTGCTTGTTTCTGCTTACTATTTTCATGGCTTGATTCCAACATCGTAATGGAGAACTCAATTTAACTTTGTTCTTTTTTCTACTCTTTAATTAAAGGGTAGTCCATGATGGTAAGTCATAGAGCTCTGTCCTCTGCACCTCAGCCCATGACCTGGGGATGGCCTGTTTGGCTGCCCTTCTCTCCAGCCAACCCAGTGCAAGCTCTCATCCGAGATTCACTGAAGTGGTCCATATCCATCGGGCAGCATCTTCTAGTTCTGTCTGGGTGTCAAAAGGATTTGTATATTTGTTTCTAGAAATAACTGTTAAAAATGTTTCTAAATGTATTTATTGCCTAGCTACTGTCTGCTGTAGTGTATTTAAAGGACACATGGGGTAGAATTCTGCCAGCATTTGTTTAGTTGATTTAGCATTTGGCTAAACTTGAGTTAAAAAAGAAAATTGCAGTGCATGCAGCATGTTCACTTAGAAGCCATACTGGGCATGGTTTTCTGTAGAGTCACTACTTACTGACTGCTGTTCCTTTCTTTCCTGTAGCACAGTAATTTAGAAACCAATGGAGGTCCTTCCTGTTCAAATGTCTCTCTTGGCATGTATTGCTTGGTAGTGCCACCATGGTGAAAGAACAGTAGCTTAGTGAAGCGGGAAACCCATTACTAACTTGCAGGCTTTTTTTCCAACACTCAGGAAGCAAATTGGATGCTTTTCTCTGGATGAAGTTAATGTGACTTGAGGCACATGTAGGATTGAAATGCAATATTTTATGAAATTTATAGGTTGCATCTAGCCTTTGGAAAATGGTAGGTTAAAAATATACCATGCTTTTGTGCTTGCATTTGAATTCTAAACATACTGATTTTTAAATACAAGAACATTGGTGTTCAAAGCAAACGGCTGGACAGATGAAAAGTACTGTATTGGATTGTTAATTCGGTGGACACTTCACAGTGTAACCTACCTAGGAAGTAGCCATGACATACCATTACTTGCATTGGGGTTTCAAAACAGTGGTAGTTTTGCACAGTTTGTTACAGAAGTAACAAATGTAAACATCAAATACAATAATTCAAAAGAAACCAAGTGTTAAAAATAACAGAAAAAATAATAAAGTCAATTGAGTCTCCAGTATTGATATCTTTGTTATCCTGTAAATGAAAAGATACAAACTGGAGATCCAACCTTTCATAATTGTTTTGTTTTGTTTTGTTGTAGGAATTACATGAATGACAGCCTTCGAACAAATGTGTTTGTTCGCTTTCAGCCAGAGACTATAGCATGTGCTTGTATTTATCTTGCTGCTAGAGCTCTGCAGGTGAGTCTTCACCTGTCTTTAGTTAGCATTGCCTTTGATTGCAAGTAACCTCGTTTCAAGAAAATTCATGAAAATACTGAAAACAAAAGCCTGGTCTGTAATCTCTATTGTTAAGTTTTTGGTTGTGTTACTTTCAGATTCCACTACCTACCCGTCCTCACTGGTTCTTGCTCTTTGGCACCACGGAAGAGGAGATTCAGGAGATATGCTTAACGACTCTTAAGCTCTATACCAGAAAGAAGGTAACTTCAAGATGTTTGGTTTTCCTATTGAATAATAGTGCAGCTTGGACTGTCTCATGGCTGTCAAAGCATGTTGGAAAGGCTGCTCCTGTAAGGGGAGTATTAGAACAAATTATGGTAGTCACATTACTGGACATATGATTAAAAGATAATTGAGTATTTTTCACAAATGAGATGGAAATATGAATTGCATTAGTTCAGCTTCTTACCACATTGTTACTTCAACAGCCCAATTACGAGTTTCTGGATAAGGAAGTAGAAAAGAGAAAAATGGCACTACAGGAAGCTAAACTAAAGGCAAAAGGTTTAAATCCAGATGGAACTCCAGCACTCTCAACACTGGGTGGCTTTTCTCCTGCATCAAAACCATGTAAGTATATTTTTTTAACAGAAACTTGCTTAATACTATTTGGTAGGTCTTCTAAATATGCATCAGAGGGTGTTGGGGGAGAGGGGGAGGAAGGCTTGCTTCTTGAGCTGTCATACAATTCAGGTGTCATCACAGAACAAATTATAAAACTGTTTCAGTACCTTGAAACAGCAGAAAGGAGGGGAAAGGGATGTTAATACTCCATTCTTCCATGGATGGGAGAGGGATATATTAATAAGCACTTTAAGATAATTATGAAAATGACCAGACCCAGGAGTATATTGTACATTACTGTGTTGTGAAGAGACCTTCTGGATTTGTGATGAGGGATGTCACAATATGGTTCCTTTTGCAGCATTTGTCTCTGAAAATTGCTTTCTCTGCCTTTCTTAATGTACTTGTCAAGTGTTTTAAGTGCAGTGAAGGAAGACAGCTTGTGGTCAGGAAATGGAGAAGGGAAAGTCATGGTGCCATCTTGGCATTAGCAGGAACATGTTGGTGCAAGTGTGTATCTTGAACCAGCCAATAAATCTGAGCTCTCTTGATAAAGAGCAGTTAGTTTTGTCTTGGTGCTTTTACCTCTTAAAACCCTATTGCTCTGTAAATCACCTATGAAATGTGAAGGCTGCTGTGAGCACTGGTCCAGTGATGCTGTGTAAAGTAGAAGGCACAGGCTCTTGTTTGTTTACATGGCCTTTTCAGGAGTTTATTCTGAATGTATTCTGAGAAAGTAGTACTTGTAGCAGTTAGTTCTCCTTAAGAAGAGTACACCTGAGTTTCCAGAGATCTTTAAGATGGGAAGTACAGACTTCTCACTAGACAGTGAGAGCTTCTTATTTCTTTCAAATGGGGGCCTAGGTTAGAAAACATAGAATGAAAGCAGGACCTGTGGTGGGATTGTAGAAGGCTTCTTGATAGCTGACAAAGTGAGGGAAAGCTGGCAGAATTCTGCCTTTCTGTAGTTTTGTTTTAAACCTCTGATTCCTGCTGAGTGAGGAAGCCGTGGTTTAAGTCCTGATGCTGTACCTCTGTCTTGCTGTCATAAAGTATCAGTCTTGCATAGTAGCTCTTCCATTACAAGATCAGTCCATCTCCAGGCTTCATCAGCTGTCTGTAGAGACAGATTTACTTCTAAACCAAATAAGCTTTCTATTTATTATATTTGTTTGACTACTATAAAAATGAAATCTGTAGTTCTACTGTTCGGTCTAAATTCTTCTATAGTATTGGGAATTAAGTGTCAAAGGTAACAATTTCTGTATCTGTGGGCTGTAAGGACAGCTCTTCTTTTGTACTACTCAGGCCCTGGTGAGTGAAATGTCAGATGAGCCTGACTGCTTGGTTTGAAGATCACAGTGTTCTTCCTCTGGCAGTTGGCTTTAAATGATGGTTCTCCCTGCAAGTGCTGCATTCCAGTGCTCTCTTCTATGAGTGTGCTACAAATGGAAAAATGAAGTGAAATAGTAGCTGCTGCGTTCATATTTACGTTTTGTGCAAATATTGGTAAAGGTGTATAAAGGATACAATTTGTTTATGACAAAATCTGAAAAAAGTACCTAATCTTGAACTTAAATTTCTTAGCTTCCCCGAGAGAAGAAAAAGCTCAAGACAAGAGTCCAGTATCTCTGAATACCAAAACCCTTAAAAAAGATCCAGAAGAGAGGCAGCAAGCTTCAAAGAGCCCTTACAATGGGTAGGTAGAAATCTCTTCCTGATTAAAAGAATATTTTCGTAAAAACTGTTTCTTCAAGTGAAGGACAGTGAACTACTTCTGAGCTATTTAATGGAAGCAGTGAGTACCTCAGCAGTGTAACCCTATTTAACTTCCTCCCTCCAAGCTTGAGAAAAGAAAGCAAGAGAAGTAGAAGCAGCAGAAGCGCGAGTCGATCTCGGTCAAGAACAAAGTCACGGTCTCGATCTCACACTCCTAGGCGGCAGTGAGTAGTCCATTTTTGTTTGGTTAGTGGGGGTTGCAGGGAAGGGGTAGGTGGTTTGGGAGTTGGTGTCCTTTTTTTGTCATGTTTAGTTCTCTGGGACATTTCAGCAGGGCTCTTCACTTCCAAGAGGTAGGGCCACTCCAGGTAGCTTGTAGATGCCTGGCACAAGTTTCTGAGTGCTGGCCAGCAAAAGTTGGGAGACTTGGGTTGGGCTTTTTGGACTCTTGATTCTTAACATGGAACAGTTCTGTTGGTAGCTGTGCTGTTAATAGTTCAAGCTGTAGAAGCTTTGCTGTAAAATGGAAGCTTCAGCCTGTGCTAACTTCACATGAGTCTGTGGTGGAGTGAGAGTAAGGTAGTTTCACCCTGTTTTATGATCTTCACAAGGAATTTGTTATAAATTAAAACAAGTTTCTTGGAACTTGGTCCACCTTGGAGTAGTGAGAAGTGCCATAGGAGTCAGTTTCACTTGTCACAGCTTTCTTCCAAATGAACCAGAGAACGTGATTTCTTCAGTGCTGCAAGATGTGCTGTCTGGGCTCTTCAGTGCACTGCCTGTTTTCTGTGGCTGGGGAAAAGGCAGAACTCTGCAGTGTGATGCAGCAATAGCTACTGGCTTTATACAGGTCCTTTTAAAGAATCCTGAGGCTGACTTCCGAATTGGAAGCTGCCAGCTTGGATCTTGAGCTGTTCCCCCTAAGTATTGCTGACTGTCAGATCACTGAAGGAGAAAGGCAATAACCAGTTTCCAGTCTGGCACTGGACAAGGAGGAGCGATTGCGAAAGGTGACACATTCTGGGTTTGGTTTAGGGCTCTTTGTTTTCAAAGGAACTTGATTCAAAGGTGTGTTCTGAGCTGGTCACTGTGATTCATCACTTAATGATTATATTTCTCCCTGTGGGAGAAAGTAATTCTCTTCTGTGTGGAAGGCACATTTTAACTTTAAGCGCTTTTCTCTAAGCTACAATAATAGGCGGAGCCTGTCTGGGACATACAGCTCAAGATCGAGAAGCAGGTCCCGCAGTCACAGCGGCAGCCCTCGCCGACACCACAATCATGGCTCACCCCACCTGAAGACCACCAAACATGGCAGGGAGGAGCTGAAGAGTGCAAATAGACACGGTCACAAAAGGAAAAAGTCGCGCTCGCGTTCACAGAGCAAATCCAGGGATCATTCTGACACTGCCAAGAAGCACCGGCATGAGCGGGGACACCACAGAGAGCGGCGTGAGAGATCCCGCTCCTTTGAGAGGTCCCACAAGGGCAAACACCACAGTGGCGGCCGGTCAGGACACAGCAGGCATAGGCGCTGAGGTTAGCCCTGCACCCTCTCCTAGCTAAGCCTGTATATAATAACATAGCAGTGGACTCTTATGTGAGATCAAAGGAACTGATCAGCATTTGATTAATTTAAACCCAGTATCTAATTTTCTAAAACATGTAGAAGGCTCTTTTTTTCTTTTTGAGAAAGAAACTTACCAACTTTTGCACATAAAACCTTAGCAGTATCGAATTGGTGGAAAACAAGGATCAGGTTAAGTTGTATGTGTTGGAGTTGTGTATTGTTTATTGATACGAGAACTGGAGAATAGATCCCTGTAAAAAACACCTTATTTTTATACAAGTCAATTGCAGACACTTATATTTAAGTATAGTTATTTGTTTAAATGATGGTGGATACTTTCTTACACTGGTTTTAGTCTGCATGTGTTAAAAAGATTTTTACAAGAAATAAAATATAAAGCTTTTTTTTGTACTGCCTGTTAGACATCAAATACATTGACACTAAGTTCTCTTAACTGCCATCACTTGGACCATTGCGCATGAATTGGGCATTTGGGGGGTTGATGGGATTCCATTGCAAGCGAAAGACTTCGAAAGCTGTAGGAAGTTGTGTTCTTCCCTGGGGAGGTGTTGGGAAGCTGAGTCCACTTCTGCAACAGTTGGAATAAGAGAGCAGGGATGCCTGGAAAGTTAAACTGTTCCCGACTCCTGCATCTGACCCACTGTGGATGGGCTGCTCACTTCACAGGCAGGGACACCTTCCACTAGACCAGGTTGCTCAAAGCCCTGTCCAGCCTGGCCTCGAACACTGCTAGGGATGGGGCAGCCACAGCTTCTCTGGGTGACTTGTGCCAGCACCTCAATGCCCTCACAGGGAAGTACTTCCTATCTGATCTAAATCTACCCTGTGTCAGTTTAAAGCCATTCCCCCTTGTCCTCTCACTGCATGCCCTTGTGAAAAGCCTTTCTCCATAACTTTTGTGGGCCCCTTTAGGCACTCTTAAGGTCTCCCCAGGTCGTTCTCTTTCTAGGCTAACAACCCCAGCTCTCTTAGCCTGTCTCCATCGGAGAGGTGCTTGCAGTAGTGGCCCTCTAGACCCTCTGCACCAGGTCGGTCCACATCATTCTTGTGTTTCATGCCCCAGAACTAGGTACATCACTCACTGCAGGTGTGATCTCATGAAAGCAGAGTAGAGGGGCAGAATCCCCTCTCAGCCTGCTGTCCACACTCCTTTTGATACAGACTAGGACACAGTTGATGTTCTGGGATTCAAGTGCACAGTGCAGGCTCATGTTGCACTTCTTTGTCAAACAATGCCCCCAAGTCCTCCTCAGACTGAATGCAGCTTAAAAGAAGCTTTGCTTCCCAAAAATGCTGCTCACAGTTGCACTGCTCTGTCTGAGGGTGGCCTGGCTGGGTACTTCACCTGCAGCACAGCAGAGGGCCAAGCATGAGGGCCAAACAAGCTGGTGAGATGTCTGGTGCTCTCTACTGCATTAGAAGTACTAGTCTTTGGCCACGTGTTCTGCAGGTCCCAAAAGGGAAAGAAAAATCTGTGGTTAAGCAAAAGCTTTACTGGAACTGGTGCATTCTCGTAAGCAGCTGCCCAGCATCCTGCCAGGCCCCGTCTCTATCTGTTCTCTAGAAATACAAAAAGTATCTTTGTGAAAAGAGGGAAGAAAGAAATGTCTTGGTTACTTCTCGGGTTTTTAAATCTGCAATTCACTGTTTCATGTGTTTGCTGCTTTCAGGAAAATACTGTTTGTTGCCATGGAACCTAAAGTAGCTTTTTTCCCTAGGTACAAGTAATTTAGATAGTCTAAGGCAGCAGTAAAAAACCAGTTGCGAAGTAGCAGCACAACTGACTCAGGCTCTGTTGAACGTCAGGGGTTTGTGCATCACAGTGAGCCATGAAGAGGAACTCGCTCAGCCTCTGTGTTTCTGCATGAATGTTAATAACCCCTCTGTGTGTCCAGCACCCCTCGCTCCAGAGCTGAAGAGCAGAAGTTAACTTCCATGTAAAGCTGGAACATCTGCTGATGGTGAATGTCTAGACACCATCTGCTGCATCTTACCTGGTGGGCTGGCTGTTCTAACACTACGGGCAGGGACACTTTCCACTAGACCAGGTTGCTCAAAGCCCTGTCCAGCCTGGCCTTGAACACTGCTAGGGATGGGGCAGCCACAGCTTCTCGGGGCAACCTGTGCCAGTGTCTCACCACCCTCACAGGAAAGAATTTCATCCTATTTACTTTAACTCTCCCCTCTGTCAGGTTAAAGCCATCCCTTCTTGTCCTATCCCTACATGCCCTTGTAAAAATTCTCTCTCCAGCTTTCTTGTCAGCCCCTTTAGGTACTGGAAGGCTAATTGGAATGCAATGTCTTTCCTGGCTCATGATGTACCGCAGTACAATACTGATTTCCCTTTGCCCTATCCCTGTGCTTGTTCTCTCACCAGCACTGACGAAATATCAGCATGCCAAAGAAACAGTGGCAGAGTGTGCAGATAATGTGCAATGAAAGATATTTTAGTACTTCCTCTGCATCTTCCTAGTATTTTCAGCAATGCGGTGCCTGGAGCACAGGCGTCACAGCAGGCAGGAAGGTTGCTCAGGTTGCACTGTTGAACCCAGATGGCCACAGGCGAATGTTTGCTTAACGCCGACAGAGCAGACACCATCCTTGGCAGATGGCAGCTGAGGCGAAGCAAGAACAGGATCTACGGATCGCCTCAAGCCACAGCCCCACACCTCAAATGCATCCAGAAAAACATGCTCTAACAGCAAGCGGCTGTGAAAGCCTCAAGCTGCCCAGTCTAATCAGCAACCCTAAGTGAAAGGAGACGATGGGAGGCCCCTCGGTAAGCAAAGCAGGAGCTTGGCAGGTAGGAGCTCAGGGATGGTGGTGACACCTGCCAGTGTCCAGGACCAAGCATGGCATCTTAGTGCCTGCCCTTGCTGCAGTGTGCTGCAGTGGGGACAGCTTCCTGGGAGGTACAGAGTATTCCTGCGTCACCTGATGCTGCAGCCACTGTTAGAAATACTGTGACAAAAATAGGGTGCTGCCACTGAACTTTGAAGATCTGAGACCACTAAAGAGGCCCTCAAGAGCTGGTGGGAAATACTCCAGCTGACCGGTTCTCCTGGGATGTGGCAGTTTGGCTGGGTTGGTCAGAATTTCCTTGCCCCAAAAAGTTATTTTGTCAAAACGTTTTGACTAATTTTTCAACAAAATTATGCACGTGAGTAAACCCCATCTGTTGTGACTGTCCTTCACCTTCACCTGTGGCACAGACCTTGGAAGGATGTGCGTGGACCAAAAGCTCTGGATGGTTTGGGAAGAAAAACCTAGTGAACGATGAAAGCATATTGATGGAAGTTGGCCCAATAAGTACCCATCAGGGCTTCAGCCTCCCCCAGACCTACAGGTTAGTGGCAGCGGGCGCAGCAGAGTGTGTCTTATGCATTGCTGTTAATGACAGCAGAAGGGACCCTTTTGGGAGAAATCCTTCCATGGTCTCCGCTCCTGCTAGGAAATGTCTGTGAAATTGTGATTTCACATCAGCCCCTGTCATGAGCCAAGCAAGCCCACGGCTCTTCTCCCTGTGCTCGTTCTTTCTCCCTGCCTCCAAAGCACAAGCTTGCTGATGCCAAGCTCTTTGGGCAGGAAATGAGCCTGCTACAGCCGCTGCCTGCCCTGCTCTGCCCTCCCCTCTCTGCTGTGGGGCTGATGGACATCTGCACAGTGCCCGGGTGTTGCTGCAGAGGAGCACTGGCAGTTACGCCCCCCCTTAGGAAAGAACAATTGTGTAAAGGAAAAAGCTTTCCATTCCCATCTCCTGCCTGGCCACAGCCCAGCAGGGCATTTAGAAAAGTTAAAATTAGCAGCTCCTGGCCTGAGCAAGAGCAGGTTTTGTATTCCAGTGGAAGGGAAAAAATTGCACAAATTACCATTTTGTCCCAGGGCAGAGGATTGGTCTACCCAGGTTTGCTGGAGAGCACCAGGGCTCACACACAGCCTGTAGCATGCTCCTGCTTGGTGCTGCCCCCTAAAGCCCCCCACGCCAGCTTGGCTCTCCCCCAGGCCTGTGGTGCACCCTTCGGCTCCCAGGGCCGCTGCCGGCTGCTCCTGCTGCCGTTCTGGGTTTTATTCTGTAGGTGGAAGTATTGCAAAGCTGACTCGAGTTTCCCCGTGTGCACACACACTCTGCGTGCACTCACGCACCCTCATGCAGGGGCTCTGCTGGAGCCTGGCTTGAGCTGCCGTGCTGCTGAACACACCAAACCCAACCAGAGGAAGAGGAGGGGATGAGTGCCCTGCCCTGGAGGCTGAGCTCTGCGGGTGGTGCAGGCAGAGCAGCCCCATCATAAAGGGTCAAACAGGCAGAAGAGCACCTGACTTCAAGCTGAGCCACTGATGGTGGGCAGCCTTGGCAGAGGGCATCAAGCACCAGATGTGTCAGGTACTGCGGTATCAACCAGGCTAAAGTCAGTGTAAAAGCATCTGCCTGGCACATGCACCCAGCTCCCTGGGGCCATGCAGGTGTCCCTGTGCAGGGGTGTGTGTTACTGAGCACAGGAGACTTTAAGGAACATTAGCAGGTAACTAAAATGTTTCCCAAATAATATAAATATCCACTCCCAAACAGTGTCTCCAAGCAGCTGGTCACAGCAGGACCGCAGGCTTCCCAAGGGGACCAGGGGAACTTCACTGGTCTCGTCGCAGTGGCATCAGGATGCTATTACCAGCAAAGGTTTGTGCTGGAAATGCCAACAGCCTCAGTCAGCAGGTAAAGCAGGGATCTAGGAATGGGCAGTGTGCTCCCCCTACTACCCAGCCAGCATGGAGCGAGCCACGTTGCCCTCTGAATGCTGGATAACAGTCTTAAGTTACATTTGCCCTTATCCAACCCTGACCTGTCTGTTCTGAAAGTATCTGGCATTCATTTGGTGCATGTTGCAGAGCACAGCTCACCTTGGATGCACATGCAGGCAGCAGATGAAGTCTGATAGGAATCACAGGTGTGCTGGGATGGGAGCCGGCATCCCCAAGGGGAGGGGTTTCACATTGGCTCGCCCAAATAACACCTTCAGTTTTAATGCTTATGGCAAGAAGAGCACCAAGGCCAAGTGCCTGGTCCTGCTCCTCCAGGCACTGTGCAGTTACTTGAAGCCTCCAGAGTCCTTCGGCCATGGATGGGGCTGCACAGGGGGCTGTGCAAGGCTGTGTGTGTCTGAGCTCGCCACTACTTCTGTTTCACGATGATCAATTTGTCATCAAGTTTCAATTTGAAATCACACCGCACACATCGCTGCTTTGTTCAGGCAGCCTCCACAATCACATCACAAACACAGGCACATAAGCAGCGACCCTTGAGGCTGATGGAGTCACTGCAGTCAGAATTAATTACTGTGCAAACACCGAGCGGTACAGTGAGAGGCTGTGTGTGAGATCTGATTAATGTATTAGTA